GGCCCTTCAAGGTAGGCAAGCTAAAGAAGCTGCTAGGAATATAGCAGTTCAGACTTCTCTAGTTGACGTTAGGGTATGTCCACAATGTATGTGGGAACAGATACCAGACCTGGCAGGGGATCAGCAGTTTGCTGTTGGGCTATGTCCTGTCTGGGAAGATAAATTATCTAAGTGGCTTTAGCTGAATCATGGTTCTACTTTTTCTAGGAGAGGGGCAGAGGTGAAGGAGAGAGGAGTGTGACAGGGGAAAAATACCAAGCAAAAAGTCAAGGTTCGGTTGTTTTCCATCTGCTGGAAATCAGCAGGCCATCTTTTCCATTTCCTGGGTAGAATTCCTCAGTTTATTTGTTAAAGGGATCTCAAGGGGAGCCCTACAGAAACCTCAAATGCTATAGAGCAGGCAGAGATAGGATGGGCATCTTGGTCCTAGTATACACCCTTTTTTTTTTAATTGAAGCGTAATTGATTATACATATTTTGGGGGTACAGTGTTGAACACCATTATTTGTGTACAATATGTGATGATCAAATCAATATTATTAGCATAGTCATTATTACAAACTATAATTATTCTTTGTCCCTCTTATTCAATTTCTCCCTCACCCCCACCCCTTCAGCCTTTTCTGCCTCTAATAAGCATAGATTTGTTCTCTCCTTCTGAAAGTTCAATGTGTTATTGTGGTCTTTCTTTCCTTTCTCTCTCTCTCTATCTCTCTTTCTTTCCACACCCTCTTTTTGTCAGTGTTACCATACTTGCTAGAAATGAAAGTGGAGGTCTAGCAGAGAGGTTATCAATCTTGCTCAACTTTGACCCCTAGAGGGTATTTGGCAATATCTGGAAACACTTTTTATTGTCACAACTGGAGGGGAGAAGGAAGTGGCGCTACTAGCATCTACTGGGTAAAGACTAGAGATGCTGCTGCACATGCCACAATGCATAGGGTAGTCCCTGTAACAAAGGATTATCTGGTCCAAAATACCAATAGCATCAAAGTTAAGAAACCTGGACTCCAGCACATAAAAATGATGTTATTTGGTCAGTGTAGTGCTATGAAAGTTCTCTTAAACCAGCATTTCCTGGAGAGATTCTGCCAGAAGCTAGAATTCCAGCAGAAGAACACCTCTGATACATCATTTGCCAGTGGCCTGTTCATATTTCTCACTGGGCATGGGAATATGGCAGTCCAAGTTTGCAAAGACACTGCAGGTTGTCATGGTAAATCTTCATGGATAAAGGATAAAACCTTGAAGAGTTCCAGAATCAGAAGTCGATGATGGTCAGGTATAGAGAGCACCTACTTTATAGTACCTCTAAGGATGGCCTCTAAGAAATTTTGGCAAACATGAGTGGGGAACAGTAAGCTAGTCTCTAAGGTGCCTGTAGATCATGTCTTGGCAAACAGAAGGTGCCTTTTTGTAAAGTACTCTTCCTCTCAGTGGATGAAACTCCACATTGTCTGCCACTCCTCTCTTTGGTTGGTTGGGTGCTGTTATGCAGGGTACAACCTGCACAATAGCATGCAATGGTCCTAAAAGTTCCTAACAAAACGAACTGATGGATTTCCCAGTTTTGAGTCCTGCAATATGGCTTACGCAGCTGGCCAGCAGAAATTAGTCTGTCCTGTTCAACAAATGGTGCTGGAACAAATGGACATTCAATATGCCAGGGGAAAAAAAAAAAAAGAATCTAGACAACAACAAACTTACACCTTTCATAAAAATTAAATGAACATGGATCACAGATCTAAATGTATGCAAAACTATAAGATTTCTACAAGAAAATGCAGAGGAAATCTAGCTGATGACTCTCAGGTTTGTGATAAATTTTTAGATATAATAGTGAAAGCATAATCCTTGAAAGAAAATTTGATAAGCTGGATGTATTCAAAGTAAAAACTTCTGCTCTGTGAAAAACCATATTAAGAGAATAAAATTTAGACTAGGATAAAATATTTGCAAAATACATATCTGATAAAGGACTTGTACCCAAAATATATCAAAAATTTTAAAAACTTGTCAATAAGAAACAAACAGCCAAGTTTAAAAACAGGAAAAGATATAGACAACTCATTAAAAAAAAATACAGGGGGCAAATAAGCATAAGAAAAGATAAACAATATCATGTGTCATTAGGGAACTGCAAATTAAAATAATGATAAAACTACACAACTATTAAAATGGCTAAAGTCCAAAAAATTGACAATACCAAATGTTAGTGCGGAGGTGCTATGAACATTTGTGTACAGTTTTCCGCAGACATACTAGCTCATTCACTGCTAGGAATGCAAAATGATACTGCTACTAAGGAAGACCATTTGGCAGTTTATCACAAAGCCAAACACAGTTTTAGCATATGATCCAGCAATAGCATTCCCAGGAATACAATTGTGTTGAAAATGTATCTCCACAAAAAAACTGCACACAGATATTTACAGCAGTTTTACTCATAAGGCCAAAAACTAGAAACAACCAAGATGTCCTTCAATAGGTAAATGTAAAAACAAACTGTGGTACATTCATACAATGGAAAGTTTATGATAAAAAGAAATGAACTATCAAGTCACAAAAAGATATGGAGTAACCTTAAGTGCAAATTGCTCAGTGAAAGAAGCCTGTGTAAAAAAGCTACATACTGTATGATTCCAACTAAGTGACATTCTGGAAAAAGTGGACACTATAAAGACAGTAAATGGATAAGTGGTTGTCACGGGTTCAGGGTATAAGGAATAGGGATGAACAGGTGTTTGTTAGGGTAGTGAAACTATTCTATTTGATACTATAATGTTGTTATAAACTACTAGAAACTATTCTATATGATATTTATAACGATATTATAAATCTATATGACATGCATGTCAAAGCCCAAAGAACTGTGTAACACAAAGAGTGAAACAATATAAATTATGTATCAATATTAGTTTATTAATTGTAATAAATGTACCATACTAATGCAAGATGTTAATGTTAAGGAAAACTGTGTGTGGTGGGGGGGGTATAGCTGGGGGAATGGGGATGGTATATGAGGTATATAGAAACTCTGTGTAGCATCTGCTGAATTATTCTTTAAATCTAAAATTGCCCTAAAAATAAAATATATTAATTAAAAAACAAAAACACGCGCACCTTAAAAATCAAGGAAATGTAATATATTCCCCTTTGAAGCATCATAATACAGTGAGAGAGAGAGAAACAGATCTAAGAGTACAACTACAAATTTCAAGATATTCCATTTTAACAGTCAAGTACTTACTAAATACTTACTGTGTTAAAAAAAAGTCACCAATTATCTCTTCTTTATGAATCAGTTTCTGATTACATTTATCTTCCTAGATCTTCCAACTCTTCAGTCTATGTTGCTTTTCACCCTTTACCTTATTCCCAATACTGTTTCCCCCAATCCACATCTCTCACTTATTTCACAAAATGCTGTGACGATCAAATAAAATACTGACGGTTGAGGCACCAGCTCACAGGTTGCCTTCCCTCACTCTAAGTCCACAATTCTTACCTCTACTGTACTAGCTCTCACATCCCCTTCTTCCTGCTTTATTGTTAATAGGTTTCAATCATAATTTTATTTTTTATTTTTTAAAAATTTAATTGACACATAATAATTGTACATATTTATGGGGTACAGAACAAAATTTTGATACATGTATACACTGTGTGATGATGAAATCAGGCTAATTAGCATATCCATCACCACACACATTTATCACTTCTTTGTGATGAGAACATTTGAACTCCTCTCTCTTATTCATTTGAAAATATACAATAAATTGTTTTTAATTATAGACACATAGTACTACCACTGAATACTAGAATTTATTCTTATCCAAATGTAAACATGTATCTGTTAAAAAACTTCTCCCTATCTCCCTTCCCACAACTCCAATTCTGAATTGTGGTTAATCAAAATTTTACACTTTAAGAAAGTAGGAATTAACTGGAAAGAAAAGTAGCTACTAAAGAAAACAAAGCAATTTTTCTTCAGAAATTTAAAATAAATGAGTCAAGTTCCCTTTCTGGTTTTCCTAAATTACAAATTCAAAAACCTTTACTCAAAATATGAAAAAAACCTATTGTACCTTTAAAGCTAACTGTATAATTAACGACACACACAAACACAGACACACACAGACACAAAGGTATTTCAAAAAGTTTGTCAAAAAATTGAATAAAAGATAAAACAAATCCTTCCACAAAATTTTTAAGGCCCCACATATATATAAAATAAAAAATAAGTTGCACATGCGACCGGGAGGGAGATACTATTTCCTTACTCATATTTTATGACAGAATAAATCCTATATCAATCAAAGATTAAGCATAAAAAATGAAACTTTAAGAGTACTGTAAGAACATATATGGAATAATGTTTGACAAAACTGGAGTAAAAAAGGCCTTTCCAATCAAAGCCCAAAATTCACAAGTCATATGAGATTCCCTTCACCAAGCTATTCTACTTCTACAAATTTATCTCACAAATATACTTGTATATGTAGATAAAGACATATACACAACATAACCTCACAATAGAGCAAACTAAACAGCAGACTGGAAATGATATGAATGTCCATTGATGAAGAGTGACTAAATAATGACATTTCCATACAACAGAATATTATGCAGTTATGAAAATGACTAACGAAGATTTAAATGTGTCAGTATGAGACAATCTATTGGATATGTTATCACATAAAAACAAGTTACAGGAAGACTATGAAATGGCTTCCCTTTTATACATTAGAAGGGAGCCTTACAGAGATTTCTTCTTTTATGCACAGTCTATTAAGTATTTCTAGAAGGACACAAAAGAAATGTATGTAGTTGCTTCTGGAGTTGCTTTTACTGTATATCATTTGAAGTTTTTAAATTATTTTTTAGATTGTGCATAAAGTCCATCACAAAAAAAAAAAATAAAGGAGAAAGTTCAAAGAAAACTTATCGAAATAGAATAGCAGATATCACATATATAGTATAAATGAGAGAATTCTTACCTTTCTCTGCAAAATTTTAGTGAATGTAGTATGGCAGGCCTCTTTTGACGTAAATTCCATAAGTGTAAGGTGTCATCAGCCAAGGCACTCACAAGAGCTCCCTTAAAAATAAAGTAGATTTTATATATAATACAGTTTACAAACATTAGTGCTACTAAACAGATACCAAAAAAAATCTTCCCAAATTTCAAAACTTTCTGCCAATATATTTAGTTCTAAGAAACATTTCCCTCTCCCAAATTCTAAACAGCAGATGTAAAACAGAGTATTATGTGTATGTAAATTAATATATGTTTTAACTTCTTATATAATTTAAAGTATAATTTAATATCTTATAAAACAAAACTATACTAGGATCTAGTGGGATGTATGGTTAAAATCTAGCTATTTAAAATTAGAATTACTTGGTCATTACTGTATATATTTCCTTCATAAGAGAGCAAATATGATACAAAGTAACCTTCTCATTTCATTTGGCTTAAGACAAATCCTTATGAAAGTACTATCCCTAGATCATAATTCTGCCACTAGAATGGTATATAAAATAAAGATAGCATTAGGCACACTGTAACTTATATGTACAAGCAGTTAAAAAATCTGACTAATTTAGAAACTTAAAACGTCTGATCCTATTAAATGCTATTATTTATGAGGAAGAAAATGCCTGGTATTATGTGTCACCCCAAACCCAACAAATCAGAATTTCCAGAGCAATGACCTCCACAGGTATATTTTTAAAAACGTCTGGAGGTGATTGTGATGTGTGAATAAGATTAAGAATCTCTAGACTAAGGGTTGATTTATTAAGATATCTGAATATTTTCCTCCAAAGAGGACATATACCCATCATCTACACCAAGAGAACAATAAGACAAGAGATGTAACATGAAGAATTTATATTAATTTCAAAAAATATCTGCAATCCCAATCCTTTAGGTTATTGTGAGAAATCTTAAAATCTCCCTTTTTAAAATAAAAGTTTCTCATCTATCCAGGACAGGATTTACATTAAATGATCTCTCTAAGTCCTTTCTACCTTCAAAATTCCATGACAGCTGCTTTACTGTGTAACTCCTCTTGCTACAACATGACAACTGGAAAGCAGAAATACATGAAGTCCACACACCCTCCCTTTCACTAGAAAGCACTCTCTTATCTATACCACTTTGAAGTAGAGAAACTCAAAGGATTCAGGGTATCAAAGATCTGTACTGTTAATTCTTATTTCCACTATAGTATCAGACCACATCATCTTGTTTCTCAAAATGTTTGCCCCATCTTAAAATTTAAAGGAAGAAGAGAAGACACAGAGCCAAAAACGGCAATATCAGCTGACTTCCTCCTATGGTGCCTCCTTCACCTATATATGATTGTCCAAAATTGAAAGCAAATAGCTAGTCTCAATTGTCAGTTTTCCATTTGCTAAGCATTTTTTAAAATAGCAATACTATTTTTATGTATTTAACTATAACATTTAAGCATGTCAAATAAACCAAAATGCCCATTTCAAAGTACACTATGATGCATCCTATTGAAGAGAAAAGAATTCTGTAATACGAGTAACAACAGCATACACTTAAGATTTCTAAAATTTAGGTATACAGGTAATCAATTTGCAATATTTTATTTACACTGGCTCATGTATTGCTTTAAAAAACAATCTTAACATAAGTATAAAGATGAAGAACAGGTTAGTGTTTGCCACGGATTAGGGACAGAGGGTGGCGGGAGTTCAATTATACAGGAATTTCCTTACTGCCGAGGGAACATTATGCCTGAGGGAATTACTTTATAGTGATGAAACTGATCTGTTTCCTGATTGTGGTGGTCATTACATGAATCTATACGTGTGACAAAAGTGCACAAAACTATACACACACACTCACAAACACACAAAATGAGTGCATGCAGAAACTGGTGAGTCTAAATAAGGTCTGCAGTCTAGTTAAAAGTATTGTTTTGATGTTATTCTCTTGGTATGATACTGTACTACTGTTACATAAAATGTTACTGCTAGGGAAAGCTGGGAGAAGGATATACAGGCTCTCTCTGTAACTATTTTGAAATTTTACTGTGAGTATAATTATTCCATAATCAAACATTCTTAAAAAGAGGAAAAATAATATGGAGTCCTCATATATGGGGCTGACAACTTTATATATTGTGATTTTGGGGGGGAATGTTAACATCTTAAAATACCTAATATACAGTTCTACACAGAATACTGAAGTTTTGAAAAACACCTTCTCTAAACCTGAAAAACCTACACAATTACAAAGTATTTGTATCATAGTTTTACTGAATCATTTATGTTGTCATATTTAAACTCTTTGCACCCATGAAGACTCTTAAATCCTTTGACATGAATAAAACATCTATCAAACGCCTGAGGTATTCAGTAATTTATTTTCTCTCATATACAAGGGTACTTCAGAAAGTTTGTGGAAAAAAGGAATTAAAAGATAATATGAATCCTTCCATGAACTTTTTAAGTACCCTCATACATTTAAGAATTTAGCCCATGGATCCTAAGATTTAGGGGCAAAAAGAATGTTTACAAACTATCCTCATATCTAAAGAGATCAGAGTCTTTTCCGGAATAATGTCATTCTTCCTTCTGTGCCCAGCTTTCCCTGCCTGTCACCACTGCTTGCAGTAAACATCTATTCTCAGAGCTGCTCATAATTTTTTTAGAATCTGCAAGCACATTGATTCCTGCACAAATAAAATGGTATTTTCTCTAGTTCATTTCATACTTTATACTCTTATCAAAAAGAAAGGCATCAATTACTTTAATTAATAAGTGACACAACTTGAATGTTACTTAAAAACCACTTTCTAAAAGGTGTTGGTTTCCTGGTTGTATTTCAAAGCAATTCATTTAAAGAGTACACTCTGTTATTTATAATAAGCTCAATCTTTAAAAAATACTTCAACATAGATTTTTATACATTACATAACTTTCAACATGCCTGAAATAAAATTTAAATGCAGCATGTTGTACCAAAAATATTTACCTTATACCATTCTATCTGCAACACTGTTTTGAGAAAACTTCTTACATTATTTATGTAAGTGTCTATGATGGTGCCTTAAAATGAACTGCTATTATCTCTGACCCACAAGAAATTACTTTTTGTTCAAATATTTAAATATGAATGCACACAAGAAATCTGAGAGGCTAGATGTTGCTCTATTTCAGATATGAGTAGAAGAAATTAAAATAATTCACTAACCTCATTAATCAGGAACTGGAGCTGGATTACTGCAGCTCCACTGTCATGCTGGCAATAACATTCTACTCCTGGACGACCAAAGCTGTCATTAATTCCATTAAGGAGTTTATGGTACGTGTGGAACTCTTTTTTTCAGAAACGGATAAGTAATATAATAGACAAATATATATTCCAATGACCTAATATTCAATACAGACTATTTACTGAAGTTGAGATTAAAAGTTAGATTTATTACACATCAATCTAATCAGTTTCTGTTGATAATCAGAAGTCTCAGAGATTATAGGTCTAAAAGAAGCAAACTTCCTTTTAGAAACAAATGAAGTATTAAAATTAGCAATACACAAAAAATAAGATTATATATAGTTACTTTACTGTGGCCCACAGTGTTTTCTTCCTCTTAAAATAACAAAAGATAGTTGAACTGTAGAGTACCAATTTTGTCCAAGTCAGCAAACAAATCCAAAAAGTAGACAAATGTCATTTTGGAATATTGCCTTTAAAAATAATATTTTTTTTACTGTCATTTTTCATTCTTGCAGTGTCATTTTTAAGTAGGCTAAAAATATAATGAAGAACCATGTTACCATGTTTCTAATTCCAGCATGATGTTTTATCACAATGAATGTATCAATCTTTTACAATAGACACGGATATGGACTAATATGAATTTGCATATAATAATTATAGCAAATATTTACATAACATTTCCTATGTGTCAGATATTACTGTAAACATGTTATATATATTATTAATACATTCAATCCTCATAACCCATGAAGAATATGTTATTTTCCCCCATTTAAACAGGTAAAGAAGCTGAAGTACAGAGATATTAAGTAACTTGACCCAAACTGCACAACTAGAAAGTAACTGAGATGTGATCTGAATAAAAGAATATTCTGGCTCCAGAGTCTACCTATACCCTTAAGTAATGAGGTATGCAGAGAAAAGAACAAAACAGAACCAAAAAAGACCCTACACACTTATAGAGCTCATTTGCACAACTAGAAAGTAACTGAGATGTGATCTGAATAAAAGAATATTCTGGCTCCAGAGTCTACCTATACCCTTAAGTAATAAGGTATGCAGAGAAAAGAACAAAACAGAACCAAAAAAGACCCTACACACTTATAGAGCTCATTATGTGCCAGGCACTCATATGTGCATATTACCATCACAAACTTGAAATAAGAAAGTAGTCATTTTAACATGCTGCTATACTAATCTAATGTTCACTAGCTAGTAAATATTAATACAAAGTAAAAAGCAAAATCTAAAAATAAAATTTGGTATGATTTGATAAAATTATAGCTCTCTGTATACAAACTCACATTCATGTGTACAGATTATTACTACATTAATATATACCACATGGTTCCTTTTAATGAAAAAATAATTGTACAACAGGTTAAATTCCTATTTTCTATGTATTTTTTTTTCCTTTTGATTTCCAGAATTTTTCTAGGTGATATTTTCAATGGACTTTTTTCTACTACTAGCAATTAACTATTATTCTATAAACTAGTAGACTAATTGAGCATGGTTAGCCCATAGTACTCTACTCTCTAAACAACTACAATTATTATTAGTAGTAGTAGTAGAAGTAGTAGTAGTAGTAGAAGTAGAAGTATTTTTGATACCCCAGTTGCTCAACTGCAACTACAGGAAACTAGATTTCAAATTGCTGGTACAGAAACTGTGCAAATCACACCCTGATAGGCCAAAGAAAGAAATGTCTACATTTCTGTTCACCCATTTCTTTTTACAGGTGACAGCACAGATCTTGAATTGCCTTTTCTCCCAGTATGGTGAGTCTAATTCTAATCTTTCCAGCTAAATTACTCTTTCCAGCACCAATCAGCATATTTTATAATTCCAATTTTACATGAATGAATTAAAACCTCTTATCTAACCAGATCAAGATCAATATCCAAGTTAATAAAATATGTGAGCTACTGAGGAGAGTCACAAAAATTATATTTACCTCACATTTTAACACAAAACATACATAACTTTGCTAATATTTTAATATTAGCCAAAGACATTTTCTTTGAGTATAGATCTATTAATCAGAGTTCAGAGTTGCTTTTCTTGAATAAAATATAGCCATGACTATCCAGGTATAAAATTTCCAGTTTAATTTTTTTAAATGGAACTTTAAAGATACCTGTAATGAAACATGAGTGCAGCATTCATAGAGAGTCTTATTATTAATTTTCTAGTCATTTATAGTTCTTATCCACACTAAATCAGATGGGACAATTTAAGCAATTAATCTTCAAAAAGTCTTCCCAAAGTATTCATCTTAGATTTTTATTAAAGAATCTTTCTGCATTCATATTTCATCAGATTATGTAATATTAAGTTGAATTACTTGATTAGAATATCAAATATAATGGGTACAAACAGATTTGGGAATACATAAAACTGATTCTTGGTAAGCAAAGAATAAGCAATCAGCTCTATTAATTTGGGCCTCCTAGGAAGTAGGTTATTGGTCTTGATATTTCAGTTTGCCATGGGCATCCATCAGTATTTTATCCAGAGAGAATAAAATGTGTCTGTAAATCCAAGAAGCACTTGTGAAGTTCACAGTCCAGGAGCACAGACTCACTAAAAGACTAAGATCTAATCATAGGACTATAAAATGCTTCCCCCTATTTGCACACTTCACCACTACATTACTGAAGGTCTATTTACAGCAGTACATCATGTCCAGATATCAAGAAAAAACTACGATGCATTCTAAAAAGCAAAAAGCACAGTTTGAAGAGACAGTACAAGCATGAACGATATCAGAGAAGAACTAAATAAATGCAGAGGTCTTCCACATTCACAGATAGGAACACTCAATATTGTCAAACTATCAGTTCTTCCCAACTTGGTCTACAGATTCAATGTAATCCCAATCAAAATCCTAGCAAGCTATTTTGTGGATATTAATGAAATTATTGTAAAGTTTATATGGAGAGGCAAAAGACCCCAAAGAGTCAACACAATATTGAAGGAGAAGACCAAAGGTGAAGAACTAATACTACCCAACTTCAAGACTTAACTATAAAGCTACTATAATCAAGACATTGTGGTATTCATGAAAGAATAAACAAACAGATTAATGGAACAGAACAGAGGACACAGAAATAGATTCATATAAATACAGTCCACTGATCCTTGACAAAGGAGCAAAAGTAATACAAGAGAGAAAAGACAGTCTTAGTGTTGGAACAACTGGACACTCACATGCATAAAATGAATTTAGACACAAACTTTACACCCTTTACAAAAATTTACTCAAAATAGATCATATACCTAAATGTAAAATGCAAAAATATGAAACTCCTGGAAGACAGCACAGGAGAAAATCTAGATGACCACGAGTTTGGTGATGACTTTTTAGATATAACACCAAAGGCACAACCCATGAAAAAAAGAACTGATAAGGTAGACTTCATTAAAATTAAAAATTCCTGCTTTGTGAAAGACACTGTGAAGAGAATGAAAAGACAAGCCTCAGACTAGGAAAAAATACTACAAAAGATATATATCTGATAAAGGACTGTTATACAAAATGTACAAAAAACTCAACAATAAGAAAACAATCTGATTTTAAAAATGGACCAAAGGCCTTAACAGACATCTCACCTAGGTAGCACAGGTAGCAAATAAGCATATGAAAAGATATTCTACATCATATATCATCAGGAAAATGCAAACTAAAACAAGGAGATAGTAATGACACACCTGTTAAGAGTGGCCAAAATCCAAAACACTGAGAACACCAAATGCTTTGAAAGAATATGGAGCAACAGGAACTCTCATTCATTGCTAGTGGGAATGCAAAATGGTACAGTCTCTTCAGAAGACAATTTGTAAGTTTCTAACAAAACTATATATACTCTTACCAGTAATTGTGCTTCTTGGTTTTTACCCAAAGAAATTAAAAATTTATGTCCACACAAAAACCTGCACACGGATGTTTGCAGCAGCTTTAGTCACAACTGCCAAAACTTGGAAGCAACCAAGATGTCCTTCAAATAGCGAATGAATGACTAAACTGTAGTACAACCAGACAATGGAATATTTTTCAACACTAAAAAGAAATGACCTATCAGACCATGAAAAGATAATCATGCAAAACTACATGCATACTACTAAGTGAAAGCCAATCTGAAAAGAATACATACCATGTGATTCCAACTATATGACATTCCGGAAAAGGCAAAATCATACAGGCAGTAAAGAGATCAGTTGTTGCTGCGATTGGGGAGAGGAAGAATGAACAGGGGATTCTTAGAGCAGTGAAACTATTCCTTATGATACTGCAATGCCAAGAGTGAGCCCTAACGTAAACTACAAACTTTGGACGAAAATGATGTGTCAATGTAGGTTCATCAATCAGAACAAATGTTCCACCCTGGTGGGGGATTTTGATAATGCAGGAAGCTATATATGTGTGGGCAGAGGGTATGGGAAATCTCTGTACATTTGGCTCATTTTCACTGTGAACCTAAAACTGCTCTAAAAAATAAAATAAAGTCTATTTAAAAAATTAATACATTAAAAAATGAAAACAGCTACATCCTCATGATTATAACTGTGGACATAATTTTTACTGCTGACTCACAACTCTAACATTCTGTTAATCTGTCACTTAAGTAAAACTATAACATGCACTATCTCTGCAGTAAGAATTTAACAAAATGGGAAAAATAACCATGAGAGATACAGAGGTCACCATTTAAAACTTCCTTAACTTGAATTGTTAAACAGTTTACAATAAATATGCAACAGTATTTGAAAAAATTAGGTCAGTCACTGCTTTCTTGTAATGTTAATGAAACAAGCACCAAAACAAAAAAGCAATTGCAGCATCTATACTAATATGTAACTATAGTATTAACTGGGCTATAATAGGCCTCTAGTTACTCCTTCCATTATTATATTGAATAAAAACGTTTTTATTATTTATAAACAAATTAGAGTGGTTGAGAATATCCATTCTTTTGGATCCACTGTTTTGGAGTTAGGATTGTCTCTGAAGAGTTCAAAATGAATTGCTTTATCACAGGCAATTCTTTA